AAACCCACCACTGTTATATGAGTATAGTAGCAGCTTGAATTAGAGGGATTGAAGTTTTCATATCACAGAGATAATCTCAGTCGTCTTTGCTGTCAACACATCAAGTGACTGCTAAGGATATAGTTTGGGGGGGGGGAGGTGATTAAAAAGTTTGCAACCTTCAGCTAACATATGTTTTAAAATTATGCCATTGTATGGAAAGGGAGATGATTTAAGATAGTTGTAAATCAATTGATCTTAAATATCATGATGAAATTCATCTTTCAGTGGTGAACCACAAAGAAAGTAGTGCACACATACACATAGACACAGTTTTATTGGTATTGCCTGCGGCATTCATAAAGCCATTCCAATGTTTTCCTCACTGAGTTTCCTGCATTAAAACGAGGAATAGGCAAGAGAAAAATGTCTCAACTGACATCTATTCAATTCACTTGATTAAAACCAAATAGCTCCCATTTCTACATATAGATTAACACTTTCTGGCTATGATATCATCAAGATACAACTGAAAATTTAGAAGTATGAATTACAGGCAATTGCAGCTTGGAGCGGACAATTATGAATATTCTGAGCTTTCGGTCAGGAAGGGTTGTGGCACTCTGCCAAATGGATTTGTCATTAGCAATTGTAAAGAAACATATGGAGAACAGTTAGCCTCTTTCGTCTTCATTATCTTGATTATGCAACTAACTTTTGCATTAGTGCATCACTGACCCATAGAGCTTGTTCGGGGTATCATTGTGGACATAATTAATCTTCTGAAAATATCCTTGCTTCATGCTGAAGTGTTACCCCTGGGGAAAAATCTCCCTACTGTTCACAAAACTGCTCCATTTTCAATAACTTGGATTCTTTCAATTAGTAGGGTGCTTTCAAGAAGCAGAGAGATACTTTTCTTTGTCTTATTTCCACCAGTCCCTCCCCAGGGTTATGAGTACACAGTATAAGTGTTCTATTTGCTTTATTGAAGCAGGATGTCTCCCAGTTATGTACTTTGGACAATGGAAAATAGACATTTGAGTATGTGGTGAGGAAGAGAGTTAAGCCTGAACTACAGAAAGATTGTATTCCCCATCTCTTATCTGCATCTCTGTATTTCAGAACTCTCTACTCCACGAGGACTGCAGTTCAAAACTATCACAGAGACCACTGTTGAGATGGAATGGGAGCCCTTCTCCTTCTCCTTTGATGGCTGGGAGATCAGCTTCATCCCCAAGGTAGCTGTCTTGACTTTGGAAATATCCTTTTATTAGAAGTAATTGTTTTTTCTTAATAAGTTTTTTTTTTATTTTTAATTTTCAAAACAAACACAATACATACAATCTTCTTTTCTTACATACTGTAGAAAGTGTATCAGTTGGTTATAAAAGACTTCCGTGCATCTCTTCCACAGTCATCAAGCATAATTCATATTA